AAAACAAATTGAATACTTTTTTATTCATTATTGGGGTATTTATAACATTATTTTATTTTTCTTTTATAAAAAAATGATTAAATTATTGTTATTTAAACAATCGACCACTGAAACTTGAACCTAATTTCTTTGATGTTGTAGTTGTAGTACCTCTTCGGATTAATTCTGAAGAGTCTGGAATTGGCTCATCTATTATAGGAACTTGATGGTATGTGATTATGTTAAAAATACGGGTGTTAATTTCAGATGCAATAGGATCAATTAATCCATCACCTGAAACTAAATGACGTTCATCTTGTTTAACCCCATCGAAATATTTAGGGGCAATAGCATTAAATTTATTGTAGTCAATTTCCATATCAGATCTTAATGGAGGTTGATTATTTTCAGTATACATTTTAATCAACTTAGTTAATAATTCAAAACCATAAGGAATCTCAAATGGAAGAATTACTTCCCATTTTAATTTTCTTTTATCACTTTGGAGTGCAACTTCAACAAAGTTTTCTGTATTAAATAATGAAAGAATATTATCAAAATCTGCATATGGCATTTCAACTAATTCATCTACATCAATTGTAACTCTATTTGTAACTGCTTTAATTCTATCACCAGGAAGAATACCATCTTTTGGCATTGGTGTTTCTTTCATTACTCTAGCAACATCAGGATCATTAGCATTATCACATTTACAAAGTAAGTTCTTAATTTTTTTGATAATTCTTTCAGCATTATTTACATCTCTAAGGTCATGTTTATTTGGATTAATGATAGTGTCAACAATATTTTTAACATACTCTATTGTTTCCATTCTTTCAGTATGTTTTTCCATTTCAAGTCTTTTAATACTTCTTGAATCATCTCCTGTACGTTCAGGTGTTGAAGTATAAGTAAAAGCATCTAATTTAGCATCGAAACTTAAACTTAATTCATCTTTATCACTATTAACGTCAAGAGATAACAATTTATCTAAAACAGTAATTTCTGTTGATGATTTATCAATAGTTTTTGAATAATCCATTGAAGTTGATTGATACATTGCTCCTAATTTTTGATTAATAACAGAAGTAACTGCAGTAGCAGAACTAATTGAAACTGAGTTTTGGTCATCTTCATTTTTTTCTTCTTCCATCTCATCAAATTTTTGTTCTTCATTAGTATCTTCTTTAGGTAATTGATCTTTAGCAGAATATATTTCATCTTGAGTAAATGGTTGACCATCTAAAGAGACATTTAATGAAATTTGAGGAGTTCCAAAATCATCTTCATCTTCTTCAAACATAAATGGTGGTAAATTTTTACAAATTTCAACACGATAATCATCAATATTACAAATATCATTTCCATCTAATATAATTGATTTAATATTAAACATTTTTCTAAACACATATTGGACATTACTTAAATCTAATATTCTATTATTTGCACAACTCTAAGTAAGATAAGTATATTTATTATTTTATTAAGTATTATAACAAACAAGTTCTCTTAAATTAAAACATTTTTTAAATATATTAATATCCATTAATTGATTATTATCAAAAGATAACACTGAAATAGACAATGGATTTGATATATAAACTGATGTAATTTGATTATTATCAGCAATAAAAGCGTCAAGAGGACGTTCTGTGATATTATTAATCTTTTCAATTTTATTATTACTAACATCTAATACTCTTAAATTTGGGAATACAACTTCATTAAAAATATCTTCTAATTCAGTTAGTCCACAATTAGTTAAAGAAAATTCTTCTAAATTTTCCCATTTAGCAGTTGGTATATTCATTAACAATGAAATAGATTGTAAAATAATATTATCTAAATGTAAAGTTTTAAGGTTCTTATAAATATAATCTTTTGTTAAATCAACACAACCACCAATGTTTTGTATTTTCAATGATTCTAATTGACAATATTTACAAAATTCAAGTAATAAAATATCATTGTTTTCTTTCTTCATTTGTTCATCTTCTCCATCTTCTTCTTGTGTAATAATTAAACACTTAATTGGAGCTGCCATCTCTTTCATATCACAAAAGGAAAATTCTGGATGACTAAGTCCATTAATTAACATAACAACTGCTGGAGTAAGTTGAATAAATTTTCCTTGATCAATTTGTTGTTTTATTTTAGTAATTTCATTCTTAACTTCTTCCATTCTTTTTTTTATTTTTTCAGTTCATTTCTTCATAATTTTTTTATTTTTTCTTTAATTTTTTATTAAGTTTTGATTTATTAGTTTTTATATTAAGTTCTTTAATGAAAACATCAAACAAATGATTTCTACAATAAAGTTTATATGACGTGTTATCTTTTCATTCAACCAGGGTTTTTAAATTCTTTAAGTTAATTAAGAAAGAAACTAAAAAAAAGGAACTTCATCAAAAAAAGAAATTAAAATATTTTATGAGAAGAATCAATACTGTTGCTGTTAAACGATTAACAACTGAATATAAAAAATTAACACAAGACCCACCTCCAGGTATTACTGCTGGACCTATAAGTGAAAGTGATCTTTTTGTTTGGGAAGCTGTTATTATTGGACCTGAAGGGACTGAGTATGAAGGAGGAATATTAACAGCAAAACTAGTATTTCCACCAGACTATCCAATGAATCCACCAAAGATGACATTTACTTGTCCAATGTGGCATCCAAATATTTATCCAAATGGTGATGTTTGTATTTCTATTCTTCATCCACCAACAGAAGATCCTACTCATTATGAACAAATAAGTGAACGATGGAGTCCTGTTCAAAATATTGAAAAAATCCTTCTTTCAGTTATGTCTCTTTTATCTTGTCCAAATTGTGAGTCACCAGCAAATGTTGATGCTGCTGTTATGTATCGAACCAAACGAGATAAATATATTAAGAAATGCAAAGAGTGTGTTGAACAATCAAAGTCAAGATACCGTTCTAAAAATTAAGTTTAATTAAATTTATAAAAATACTTCTTCATCCTTTTTTTCTTTTTAAACTTAGTTTGTTTAATTTAAATTTAATCAATCCATTCAAGTGAAAAACGAACTTCTTTTTGATTTTTAATATAATAAGCTTTTTCATTTCTAATATCATTTTGATAATGAATTGTCCATTCTAATTCATTTGGAAGTTTCTCTGGTGTCCATCCTAAATTTGTAAATAATTCTATTCCTTCACTCAATGATATTTTTATTTCATAATGAATATAATGTTCATCACTTGACTTCATTTGGAATAATTTATTAATTATATTAACTATATCAAAATTAGGTAATCGTTTCTCTATATCAATAAAGGCAAAATACCTTTTTTCAAATGAATTAAACCATTCTAACATATGACTTAATGATTTATTACTTTCACTATTACTAATATTAAATGCTTCTTCTAAATTATTGTCACTAATAATATTTCTTTCTAATTCTCTTCTAATGTCATATGAAAGATCACACGCCTCTCTATTAAAATATGAATGACAAATTAAAGATGGATTAAAAACAGTATTTGAATGTGTTAATAATAAAGGAGTTGTAATAAGTAAAGTTTGAAGATAATCAAAGAAATATTGTTGAGGAGAAATAGATTCAAGTACATTTAATAACTTTTCTAATTCTTCTTGAACATCAATAAAATGATGAGGAATAACATCCATTAAATTTCCTTGACATACTTCAAAATATCTTGCTAAAACATCATCAGAATATATGGTTCTATTTAAAAAAGGACTTGGATGAGTTTCATTATATTGTTTTCTCATAATTTTATACCAGTCTAAAAATTGTTCTAAAGTAGGATGATTTTGTTGATGAAGAGTAAGAAAATATCGAGTGTCTTTAACAAGAATTATTTGTAAATCTTTTTCACTTGGTTGTGAAAAAGCAAATCCAATTTCAAGTAATTCATCATTGTCACGTTCAATTTGGTTATTACTAATTTCTAATATATAATTAATAGCACAAAGAATATTATAAATTTTTGGATATTCTTTCTTTGGTAATGAACCACATCCATAAATATGATTTATAGTTATATACTCTTTTATTATTTCTACAAAATTATGATAAAGATTTCTATGTTCTAATAAGTCATGACAATGATAAACTGCATATTGACAATATAATGAAAATATAGAATTATATGGAATCATCTTTTCTCTTTTAATTTCTTCAAAATCAAATTTTTCACATAAAAATGAAATAAAACTTAGTTTTGTATGATATTTTTTATGTAAATATATTTCTTTAATATCTCTTTTATTAGCTTCAGATAACATATTTCTAATTTGTTGAAATTTAGTATAGTACATAGGAGGTATTTCAGTTTCTCCATCAATTATAATTTTCCATTGTGATGAACTAGTAAATAAGAATTCATCAGTATTTGATACATATGCCTCAAGACATATTTTATCAAAATAATTTAATCCTCTACAATAACACATTTTATTATCATTTAATGGTGGGCTATTTATATAATATTTATGTATTGTTTCATATTCTAATTCATTTCCAATACCATACATCATTTCTTCAAATTCTTTTAATGAACTATAACTCAAACCATTTCTATTTCCTTCAGAAATAAACATCTTTCCATGTGGTCCTGTACCAATTATAATTTCTATTGTTTCAACAAATATTATAGATTGAGGAAATGCTTGTTTCCCAGCAGCCAGAATAAATCTCATAAGTTCATCACCAACACGTTCTTCTATAGTGATTTTAATATAATTAGAACAATGAAAAAAAGGATGACTAGTTGAAATAGTTTCTAAATGGATATGATAAATATCAGATTTAATTTTATAAATAATATTAGTATTATTTCTCTCCATATCACGTATTAATTGTTCAAATGGTGTTTTCACAGAATTGTCAATATAATCTCTTCCAACAGCTTTCATTATATTTAAAATGAATTTAGTTCTTCTCAAATCTTATTTTTTAAAAAAGAAAAATTATAAAGAAATAATTAATACAAAATAAAAAATTAAAATTATGTTTAATTAATCTTCACTGAAGAGTGTATTAAAAGCAAAATTTAATACTTGCATTATTTCATTTATATTTAATCTTTCTTGTGGATTATTTTGCCAACATTTACAAATAAGAATATAACACCAATCTGGCATACCTTCAGGTTGTAATAACCTTTTTCCATCACAAACAAAATCAGCAATTTTCCATGGAAATTTAAATTCTTCAACTGGATATGCTTTATCCCATTTCCATATTTCATATAATACAATTGAAAAAGAAAATATATCAACAGGAGTTCCATATTTTGATTGACATAAGATTTCCGGAGCCATATAAGCAGGTGTTCCAACTGACTTTGTAAAGGTTATGTTTGTTAATAATAAATTAAAATTCCTTGAAGATCCAAAATCTGTTAACTTTGTATTAACAGCAACACCTTCTTCTAAAGAAAATATTAAAATATTATCAGGTTTAATATCACGATGAAGAACTCCATTTGAATGAAGGTATTGAATGCCTTTTGCTGTATCTATCATAAATTTAATTTTTAATCGAGGTTTCAAACGTAAATTTTTATTTTTCATCAAATCTCGTAATGACCCATACTTTGCAAATTCAGTAACAATACACATTTTACTTGGAATAAATACTGCTCCATAGAAATAAACAATATAGTCTGACCTAAACTTATCTAACATATCAATTTCTTTTTCAAATTCTTCTAATTCATCTTCTTCACATTGTAATTGTTTTAATCTTTTAATTGCAACTTTATTTCCTCTAAATATTCCAAGATAAACAATTCCAAATGACCCTTCTCCTATTTTCTTTTCTTCTATTAATTCATCATAATCAATATGAGTAGACCTTTGTGTTGTATAACTGAATGAAATAATATCATTCATTTTATATTTTTTATGTGAAGAATTAGAAATAATAACAATTGAATCATTCATGGTTCCTGAACATAATGGTGTAATATAAATTTCAACTTCACACGCTTCTCCTTCAGGAAGACATATAGTTTGTGGGACTATTCTTAATGAATATTTAGGATATTGTGTTTCAATGTAAGTAAATTGTATAAAAATTTTATTCTTTGAATCATTACCAACATACAATACTGTTCTTGATTCTACACCTACGGGTAATCTGTCAGGACCTTCATCAAATAAAAGTGATTGTTTATCAAATACTAATGGAGAATAATTATTAAATTTATTAAAATGAATATTAGAATATCTTATTGAAAAAATGTTTAATCCAGAATCAATATTAATATATCCACTTGACAAATCATTTTTTTTATATTTATTAATTTTAATAGCAATGTATATAATTATACCTAATATTATTGCTGAAATTGATATAAATATAATCAAACTAATAAGTATAACTGTAATAATATTAACAGTACAATTATTGTTTTTAATATGATAAAAGAATGAACATTTAGTACATACTTGACCATCTGATGTAATACAATGTTCAATAGTTGAAATAGAAACACATTTTTGTTTATCATTTTTATTTAAAACATATTCTTTATTACATTTAATACATTGTATCGAAGTACAATGTTCACAATTAGCTTCACATGGTGTACAATGAGAGTCTTGAGTAATTCTATATCCATTTTCACATAAAATACATCCAACAGTATAATCAACTTCTAAACAATGTTCAAGCTCTGAAATTGGAGAACATTTCACTCCATTAAGATAATATCCTTCATTACAATTAGTACATCCAGAAAAAGAACATTGGGCACATTCACCAAATACCTTACAACTTGAACAGGTTGTTTTATTAATAAAATAACCATCTTCACATATAACACAACCTGCATCATTGAAAAATGGTATTAGACAATGTGTTTGGTTGGAGTATATACACAAATAAGATTGAACAATATATCCTTGATCACAACTGATACACCCTTGTGATGTACAAGAAGTACAATTATCTGGACAATTAACACATTTCATTGAGTCATCTAAATAATATTTTGTTTCACAAAGTGAACAACGTCCATTTTTATATTCGACGCAATGAGTTTGTTTCATCACTTCAGTTGTTATTTTCTCACATAATCCTCCAACTAAAATAAATTCAGATAAACATTTTTCACATGTATTTTCATTTAAACAATAAGAACATCCATCAATACATTTTGTACATTGACCCTTGTTTAAATAAAACCCTTCTTCACATTGGTAGCATTGTGATTTGTTTGTTGTTTCTAAACAATGACATTGTTCTTTAGAAATGCATTGACCATTTGAAAGAATAACATAACCTTCTTCACACAGATGACACATCTGTTCATCACATAATAAACAATGACTATAACGTTCAGAACAATTGTGACAGATTCCTTCAATAGATATATATCCATTTTGACATTTTGATTGTTTTCCATAAATATATAACTCAACTGAGCTTGAATTAATACAAGAAGTCCCATCCCATGTGGTATTTTTCTCACATAATATACAAGTGTTATTATCACAAACTAAACAATTTGATGGACATGGTTTGCAATTACCTGAAGATACATCAAATTGATATCCATCTACACATTTCATACAAACACTGGTTTTCCATTCACATAAATCATATGATGAAGACAAGACACAATTGTTCATTGTATTTAAAGAATAATTAGTCATACAACTGAGGCATTGAGTGAAATTACAAGTATTACAAAATTCAAATTTTTTTGAACATTCTTTACAAATACCATTTTCCAAATAATGAGTTGAACTACATTGATAACAATGAAAACCATATGAGATACATAATGGGTCAATGGGTTCAATAGTTGAACATGTTCCATTCTCATTTCTGTAATAATGTGACTCATCACATATTAGACAGTTTGTTGTTTCAGCAAAATATTGAACAAAACAATTTCCATTTGGTTCAATCAAAAATGAGTTACTACTTCCAGTTTTGAGAATAGAATACATTAAAGGATTTGTTGATAAAATTAATGTACCATCAGTAGAATAAACATTAACTGGTGTGTCTAACGTATTAAATGAAAGAGTGGAGTGTGTTGTATTTAATATTAATTTTTGAACATTTTGTTCAATTGATATAGTTTTTTTAATAATATCAGTAATTATGATATTCTTTTCAATAACTAATGTTGAAGGATTAACTCCATTCAATGAATAAACATTGTTAGAATAACTTGATTTAATTGTTACTGTACAATTAGGACTAACTGTATTACAGGGACATGAATAATCAGGACAACCATTAATATCTACATAAGAATAATTACCAGTTACATAACAAAATTGTTGAATCAAATTGAGTTTTCTACAAATATTTTCATTGTCTTCAGCACCAAGTAAAATAACTCGCTTGTCACATGAAAGTGGGAATGTACTTTTAATACTTCTTGAGCCAACTCTAACTAATATAATGATGTTGTTTGTAATATTAATCCGAGGATCTAAATTAAAATAAATTTGATTCGGAGATGGGTTAATAGAGAAAACTTCGTTTTGAATGTCATAGTCTGAAGTAATTGAATTAAGTTGAATTTGATTAACAGTTTCTATGAGAGAGATTGTATTATTATTAAATATTAATTTGTTAATACTGATATCTGTTAGGATTTTAATTGGATTTGTAACATTAAGTGTATTAATCAAATTTCCTTTTAAACTAGTTTGTATTTCTGATTGGTGTATTTCTAATAAGTCAATATCATCGAAAGTGATTATATTATTTGAGCATAGTGTATTTAATGAAACATTGAAATGGTTTGATTTCATTGTTATGATTCCACTTTGGTAAACAATAAGATTTGACTCTAACTTAAGTTGAACCTTTTCACAATTCATATAAAGTTCATTCTGTGGTATAAAATAACACTCTTTCCCTTGGCAAGGGCAATAACTTATACTAAATGTTGAGTTAAACCATTTAGAATTAATATTACAAGACACTTCATAATTAATATCATTTATTGGACAAATTCTCAATAATGTTTCATTACTTAACTTTATTTGGTTGTATTTTTCTTGTATTGTTTCGATAACGCTTCTAATCTTTTTAGATGAAAGTAATTCAAAACATCCCATTTGTTGAGGATCTATTTCAATTTTATTAACATTCATTTTACCAATTCCCTTTTCTTGAAAAATAACTTCTTTATTTATATTACTAATTAACTGCATATTTAATTTATCAATAATCATTAGTTCATTTAAATATATACGAGAATTCGAATTTACATTACTATTATTACATTTTATAGGTGTCTGAATCATAATATCAAGATCATCAAACACACATTTATTAAATGAAATAAATAAATTTCCATTTATTGTTGTAGTTGAATCTGTAAACAAAAGACTATTCCAATGAGTATTATTTTTTTCTATTCTCAATTCTTTTCCAATCACAACTAAATTCCTTGTTATTTCTGCTTGGTCATAAAAACAATCAGATACATCAAATGTGTCTGAATCATTAATTAAACTTGTCTTACAGTCACAGCCAATACTATTATTCTTAAACCCAAATCTTGAATAATTATTGTCATTACACACTATTCCAATAAGATCAGAAATTATTTCACAAGTACTGTTTGATGCAATAAATAATATTGCATTATTATTAACATTTGTAGTAATCAAGTCTTTAATGATACTCTTTTGAGAAAACCTCAGATATTCAACTCTTTCTGGATTGTAAGAAAAGTCTAATGTTTCAATCCTGATATTAATATCAAATATAACAGGTGATTTATGTTTATAATAACCAACAGTCATTTCTTTTCCATTTATAAGAGTTATTTCAGTTGTTCTAATGTCAATTTCTTTCCATTTTACAGGAGTATCAATAGTAAATACATTATTATTAATGACAAGTGTTCTTTCAGTACTGAATTCTAAACAATCGTTTTGTACAAAAACATCACCTTTTCTTTGACAGTCACAACCAATAGATTTGTTAGTTACCAACGTATATCTATTTAATGTTCCTTTACACTGAAGAGAAACAGTTTGTAACTCATTAGATAAAATACCAACAAAAAGAACCTTTGTAGAATCTAGTGTAGTAATAACCTCATTAATGACAATATCATTTCCAAAGTTAAGAAAAGGATTGTGGTCATTAATTACCAATGTAGTAATCTCCATTCTCCCATTGAGCTTAAAATCAAATTTTGGTTCAAAACTTGTTACATTAAGAAAGAGTGTTGTTAACACAATTGGTTTTGTAATTATTAACATATCCCATTGTTCTGGACCTTCGTATATTGACTCTGAATTAATAATAAGAGACAAATAAGGAGAATATAATAAACAGTCCCACTGACCAAATGTTGAATTACTCCATACACAATCACAACCAATTTGTTGTAATGATATTCTGTAATATTTATCTTCTATAAAACAATTGGAATAGAAAGGAATAGGCTGTTTTATAGAAGATAAGAAAAGTACTTGGTTAGTAATATTAAACATTGTATCTATTTTGGAAATTTGAACATTTCCATCAATTTTAATTTGTGGAATAATGTCTCCATATTGCATTAGTATAATAAATGAGTTATTACCAAAAATGTTAAGGTTAAACAAACATTGGATGGTATTTATTTGAACTGTATTTAAGTAAAATGAAATATCACCTTTAGGAATGATTTTATTCCAATCACTTTGTATTTCAACTCCATCTTGTATAAGAACATCTCGTGACTTAGAATAATATCCACAGTCCCATAAGTTATAATTACTTGTTAAATTTAAAATTTTATCACTTGAAGAACATTCACATTTTGAAGTTAGTCTATAACTAATTCTAAATGGACTTATTTTACATGAACTAAATGTGTTTGTTGGATTTGTTAATTTAGAATTTGAAATATAAAACCAATCATCTGGCATAATGACAGTTTCTATTGATGTGTCCCAAACAGACACCTTATATTTGTCTGTTATATTTAATAAAGTAATGTAATTTCCATAGACTTGAATATTTCCCATAGCTACTATAGTTGATTTACTTTTTAATAATAAAGTTGATTCAGAACCAATACATCGAATCTCTTTCCATGAATAATTAATAGTAATATTATTTGTTGTATTAATATAAAGACTATAAACATTAGGATTCAATAAACAATCCCATTGCTCTATTTCATTATCAGAAGAACTTTGAATAGAACAACCACATCCAATTTGATTTCCTTTAATCAAATATCTTGTTTGTTGTGGATTTATTGAACATCCTATTTCTATAGCTTCTGGAACTGATACTGAAAATGGAGCTATAAAGACAATTGCATTTTGATTATCCATAACCACATTAGAAATATTTGGAAAAACAGAAAAAATTAATTGACATTCATTTGTTATATACAAACTATAAAATATTGTTTCTCCATCAACATGAACTTTTCCCTTACAAATAAACATATCTGCAATTAATTGATATCCATCACTGATGTTAATATTAACCGAATTCTCAACAGACACATTCTTCCATTTCATTGTTTGTTTAAGAAAAATGTCATTAGTAACCATTAGATTCTTTGAAGAAGTATTTTGACAATCCCATTCTTTAAATGAAGTTAATGTTGAATCAGTTGGAGTACAATAACAAAGAAAAGTTGATTCTGAAGAAACAATTCGATCATACCCTTGATATAATTCACAATGACTTTGTTTTAATGTAGAAGGTAATGAAACAATATTTTTAGCATAAAAGAGAATTGAGTTTACACTGAGTTTAGTATTAGACAAAGAACCAATCTTGATTGAATCAAACCAACATAATTTTGAATATGTTAATGTACCAATTTCTAAATTACCAATAAATATAGTTGGAGTTGATTCCCATTGATTAATAATTAGAGTATTAAAAATTATAAGATGAATATATTCTTTTTGAATAATTAATTTCTTCCATGTATTTGTTGCTGTTAAATTATCTTTATTAACAATTAAATTAAAATATTCATGATAATATAAACAATCATTATAATTGTATTGAATGTCTTTCTCTAATACACAACCACAATCAGAACCTTCAGTATATCCATATCGTAACATATCTCCCATATTACATAATTGTTGAGGTTGTTTACCCATATTTTCAAAGTAACAAGGTTGAACACTTTTCTCTCCTATAAAAATAGCATTTGTATTAGTTGGTAATGGATGATTTTGATCATAACTACTTACAAATACCCAAGGATATCCAGTAACTTCAAGAAAAGCACTTGGAAATGTTTTAGTTTTAATATCCAAATATGGTTGATTGTCGGTGTGAAAATAAAGAGGAGATGTAGTTGTTAATACAATAGGTTTATTTGATCTATTTGGTTGTTTAAAAATAATTCTTACTGAATCTGATGAAAATGAATGAATCCAAAATTTCGCTTCTGTATTTCGTTGTTCAATGATAAGTGTTTTTAGAGAAGTTCCTTTGACAATAGTAATAAATTTATTACCTGACCATTTTTCATTAATAATTGTTAATTCTTCTTCACATTGATCAAAAATGAAACCATCACATGCATTTGAAATTTGATCCATACATATGTCACTCTGAATTAGTCCATATGATTCATATGTTGATTCTAACTCATTCCACGTTCCCCATTTCCATCCATTTCTATCACAAGATAAAGGTTGTTCTTCAATTAATACTGTGATATTATTAGGGTCGTTACAATATGTCCCACTTCCAAAACAAAGTGAGACAATAATATGAATGAATATGAATAGCATAATTTAAAAAAAAATAAGATGACTTTCAAGAGCTTTATTTTTTTTCTTTTTCTCAGTTTTCTAACAATCATTTTTCAAATTGAAATTTCCTCTTTTTTTTCTTGAGTTATCTTTTTTATCTCCTCTCTTACACTATTAAACATCTTTTTTTTAAAGAGATAATTTATATATCCTCACCAATTTTACTCAAAATTATGAAAAATTAATAAAGTATTGATTTTAAATGAATTTTACTCTCTTTTTGTTTATTTCAATATATACAATTATAAGAAGATTATTTGAATATTCAAAATAGAAAATGTTAACGTTAAATTCAAAACAATAGAGAGAATTTTCATTTTATTTTTCTTATTGAAGATAGTTTAAATTTAGTTATTATTCTTGTTCAATTGTCTCTTTATTAAAACTAAATGACGTTATTTATTCCAATAAATGAAAATTATAAATCCATATTACAGTAAAATGGATAAAATTAACCAAATGGTAACAATAAACAACTGACTCTTAGTAAATAAGAATTATTAATTTGTTAACTTTTGTTGAACTCAAACCCAGAGGTTTACAAATATTTTTAAAATAAAACTAAGTTAAAAGATACTAATATAAATGAATTGATTCTTAAGAAACAAGAGTTGTATATTTTATTATTATAAAGAGTAATTACCTCATGAAAATAAAAAGTGAAAAAGGTTGTTTTGATGAAATAATGTAAATTAATATTATTCATCAGAAATTTGATAATTTTTATTAGAATTGTTTATTATACTGTCAAATAAATATATTGAAACAATTAGTTAATTTCCAAACTGAAAGTAATAAAACTGAAAACATAAAATAAAGACAATATAACTTTTGAATGAATAAGAGATATACTTAAAAAGATAAGATAAAGAAATTGAAAGATAAAATAAGTAAAATAAAATAGAAGGAATAAATAAAAAAAAAAGAAAAAGAGAGTATAATGTTTGATTCTATTAATGTATTTTTCACTTATTTTATAATTGTATTATGTAAATAATAAAAAGAAATAAAGTTCGAAAAAGAAAATTGAAAAAAATTAAGTGATAATTAATGAATACTATTACTCTGGATGAAGAAGAGGTTTTAAATTATTTGCCATCATTACAACATCACTATCTTTATCTTTTAATAATGTTTCAACACATGGAGCAATACGAGAGTTCACAGTACCTTGATCCAAAATGTTTCTTTGAATAAGAACACCCAACTGTTGTAAAATTGTTAAACGAACATTGGAAGTAGAGTCAAATGCTAAATTTAAGATCATTGGAAGGAATGCAGTAGAGAAAGAGTCTTTTCCCATTACACAACCAACTTCAACCATTGCTGCAATAGTAGATTGTCTAATTTTATAATTTGGATGTGTATAATATAATGAAATAATTGGAATAATGTAAGTTCTTCCCCAGTCTGAGCCAAACATTTTAACCATATCAGCCATTGATAAAACAGCTTGTCTACGAACTTCAAGACAAGAATCTTTAAGACCATTTTTAATAACTGGAATAACTTTTTGAGCAAGATCAGCACCAATGAAAGAAACAATTTCTGGTAATAATAATTGAACAAATGAACGTACTCTCCATTCTGGATCATTAGTTAAAGAAATAATAGAAGAAACTAAACTAAAATAGTCCTCTAATTTACATGAATCAAGTAAAGTTTGAGCAGCTGTTAATGAAGTAATTTTTACATCTGAAGAATCGTCTTTTAATAGTTTATTAATTAAATCAATAGCATCTTTATGTGGAAGAGTTGATGAAACTAAAGTTGATACAACACAACGAATAGATGGATTAACGTTATTAGCTAGTTCATTTAATGGTTCAACTAATAAAGGTGTTTGTTGTTTTGGAAGTTTATTTAATGCAGTAACAATGACAGATGGATCTTGATCTCCTAAAAATGGGAATAATTGTTCTAAACTAGGATTTTCTAAACTTTCAACAGCTTTTAATCTATCTGAATAATACAATGAATCAGCCATTCTTGTTATTTGATTTTAAATCTTTTTATTTTTTTGGTATTTTTTAGTTCTTTTTTAATTTTTTCTTAAAATTTAAAAATTTTAAATCCCAATTTTCTGTTATTAAAAAACATTTTTTATTCCCAGTAATACTTGCTTGTTTTAAGTTTCAAGTTAATTAATAAAAGCAATAAAATTTTTCACATAACATTTGTTTTTTATTTGGTGGTTGATTTAGTTACTTAATCCACATCACCAAAGAAATGACCCCTTGAATAAATAAGAAAATGAACTAGATATAAAGGATGATATTAATGAAGTAAAGAAAACAGAAAATTGAAACAAAATGAAAAAGATTAAAATAGAAGAGTAATCTAAAAATAAAATAAAAACTAAAAATACTTAACAGAAAATAAATAATAAAAGTTAACAAAAAAAAATTAAATATAAGCTATAAAAAAAACAAGAAAAAAATAGAAAAAATAAGAGAAAAAAAACGGGAAAAGGGTATAAAATGAGAAAAGTAAAAATATAAAGAAACTCTATGTAAAAGAGTGAACTGAAAAAGAAATTCATTCTAAATAATGGCGGAGGAAGACTATAAAGTAGAATTACATAAAGTAGTTCTTGTTGGAGATGGTGGTGTTGGAAAATCTGCTATTACTATTCAATTAACACAAGGTCATTTTATTATAGATTATGATCCAACAATTGGTTTGTTTATAATTTTGTTAGTACTAAAGAAAAAGACTAAAATTAGAAACAAAATTGTTTTTATGTCTTTTTAATTAAATAAAAAATGTTATTAATTCTTTTAGAAAATTGCTATAGAAAAACATTAACTGTTGATAACCGTATTTGTGTATTAGATATTCTTGATACTGCTGGTCAAGAAGAATACGCTTCAATGCTTGATCAATATTTCCGTAATGGTCATGGTTTCTTAATTGTCTATAGTGTTACTGACCGTAATAGTTTCGAAAGTATTAAAAATTATCAAAATAAAATTCTTCGAGTTAAAGAAGCTACATCTTTTCCAATTGTTTTTGTAGCTAATAAAGTCGATTTAGTAAAAGATCGTGATGTTAGTGAAAAAGAAGGAAAAGATAAAGCTGCTGAACTTGGTGTTAAGTATATTGAAACTTCTGCTAAAAATAAATTAAACATTGAGGAAGCTTTTTATACTCTTGTTCGTGAAATTCGTAAACAACAAAACAGTGATGCACCTGAAGAAGCTGGTAAAGGTGGTCCTAAAAAGCAAAAAGAGAAGAAAAAATGTTATTTGTTCTAAATCAGTGGTTATATTATATTCTTTTGGTCTCAATATATAAAATAAAAATTCATTTCTTTTAATACAGTTATTATTTTGTCATTCTTTTTTTTTCTTTCATTAAAAATAGGAAATGTATTTAGTTAGAAAGTAATTTTCCAATATAAAAAAGGTGAATTGATTAAACCCCAAAAGGGTTCAAAAAGAAATAGAATAAATTTATACCTAACGATAAATAACAATTTAGATAGTAAAATCAATGCCAAGTTCTTTGCAAAGATTTTGTTTGTCTTTTAACATTTGATCAGTTTGTTTCTTAATTTCTTCAAGTTGAGAAAGAAGTTTGGAATAATCAATGATACATGGTGATTGCTTTTGAACGTAAGTGCTATCACCCTTTTCTAATTGTTCTTCACCATTCACAAATTCAACCCCAGTTGTATTAATATAAATTTGAACTTTTGGTGTAGTGAGAGATGGAACAGACATTACTATGAATTTTAAGTTTAAGATCTAAAAGAGAAAAGATAAACCGAAAATGAGTAAATTAATAAGAACTCTCATAGATTGATTCAAATTCTTTAATTGATTTATCACCAATAACTCCTTTTAATTCACATTCAATTGTAGTTGGTTCCCACTTATTGTTAGAATTAAACTGAAATTTTTGAATTCGTTTAGAAGGATTATACAATGAAATTAAATAAATTATTGGGATAGATTTTTGTTTAGCAAATTCTAGATATGGGTGGGGAACTGTTGATGTTGTACTTGAAACATACATAGCCTCAATTCCTATTTCTGCTATTTCATCATATATAATAGAGTTAAGTGGAGGAAGACAAGGTGCGTGTGAAACAGCAATAACTTTTTCTCCATTACAAATATACCCATAGCAGTTATTAGCAGGGTAATTAAGACAATGGCGGACACATTGTTTTAAGACTATTTCACTCATTGATTAATGTTTGTAAATTTAATTAATTATAGTTTTTTTCATTTTTACTTTTTTAATTTTTTCTATTTCAAGTGAGGAATTTTTTTTCTTCTCTTGAATGAATTAAAAGTAAAATATAAACAAATCAAAGTTACAAAAAAACACAATAAATTGTACAATATTCAACTTAATACGAGAGACCTCTTCCTATTTAATAGCTTTGTTGTTTCTTCCATTCTTCTAACCTTCCAATTGAACTAGAACAAAAAGAATGATCAAACGACTTTTGGAAGTGAGCTTCCAATGAATCTGCTGATTCGTTACTATTAACATAATCACAGAAAACGATATTTGTAAAATTTGATTTGATAATTGACTTATTAGCTGAACGAGAAGGTGGGTGTGGAGGTGATTCAGCATTATCGATTTGTACAGAATCATTCAAAGAGTCATTCGACTCATTGGCAATATAATCAGAATAGCTAAGAAGAAGTACATCATCAAGAACATCCTTTAAATTTGTTGTTGAAATCATAAAGACTAGAGACTTTGATTTTTTAAGATGATTAGATGGTTTAAATCATCTTCAAAGTGAGTAGTTGAAAGACGAAAAGAAAGAAATCAAACAATTTTTATTTTTGGATTTTCACTTTTTTTTGTGAAATTAGGACAGGATCCCAATAATCACCTTATTTCCCGTTTGATTCTGATAAAATTTTTGGAATCAATATGAAGAGTTATGAAAAAGTTAAATGAAAAGTGAAATCTAAAAATAATTTTATTAAACCCAAGATGAGATAAATTTTTTCTTTTTTCAACAATAATAAGACAATATACTTTATATATGTCAAAAATTATGCTTTTGAGTTGTAGATTGATAGTTTTTTGTCTTTGTTATTGTTAAAAAGGCCTTTTCATCAGATTTGAGTCAAAATGTTTTATAAATACTTATTGTTCATCTTTATCTTGTTTTGTAGTTTATAGAATTTTTTTAATAATGCAAATAAATCTAATATTAAATTATTTAATAATCTAGAACTTCTTTAAACCTCAAAAATAATGAATAATCCAAACTACTTGACGTAAAAGGGTTGGTGATGTTTTTTCTGCGTTTTATATAAATAACTCATCTTCATTCATTTATTCGAAAAGAAACTAAGAGGATAAAACCTTAAATTGAAAAGACGATAAGTTAAGAGTAATTTATTTTCATAAAAGAAGCAAAAGATTCGAGATATGTCCAAAGTGGATAGTCACCACTTCTCTCAAACCCAGATGAAAGATGATTATAAAACAAAAAGATATTCTATTGGAATAAAATGTCCTTCTTCTCTAAACCCAGAATGGGAAGATATAAGTCATACTATTCAGCAAAGAGTTCAAAAATTAAATAAAAAATTTCATAAAGATATTAAGGTTGAATTAGTTCAACCAAGTCAAGTTGACCATATAATCGAGCAATCAGAAAGTGAAGAAGTAATTATTGAAAACAATAATAATGAAAGAAGAACAACAAGAAGAGAAAGGAGAAGAAAAAGAAAAACTAGGAAAGTTCAACTTCAGGCAAATCAAGAACCTCGAGTAAATCGTACTCACCAAAGAATTATTACAATAAGAAACAGACAAGAACTTGAAGCATATTTATTATCAATTATTTATATCATCTTTGTCTGTTGTGTTTCATTACTCATTGCATTTGTCATTATTATCATTTTGATCTGAATAGTAAAAAAGATATTAAAATGAATTAAATTTATTACTTTGGTTTATTTTATAAATTTAAAACAAAAGTTTAAATAGTTCTTGTATTAAAATTAAAGACGATATTGAATGGCACCAGCTTTTGTAATATATCTTACCCACTTAATG